ACCTTCAACACATATGTCCAGTTAATGCTAAACATAAACAAAATAATTAAGCATTTTTTTCTGATTTATGGCTGGTTAGTTGATTGGATTCATAGTTCTTACTGTGTTGGGACGATGCCATGTAAATTTTTAAATTAAATTCTATGACAGTGCAAATCAATCTTACTTGTTTTCTTATAACATAAAGCATGACACTGCGCACAAGCTTGCTGGGTACTTTAGTCTTCAAAGAACATATGCCGCATGTCAGAGATGGGAAGCAGAATGTACTATTATCCCCAGAGTTCTGTGGTTGAATTTGACTGCGCAGTTACAGTGGCTGTAACGGCTAAGATTCTGCACTGGCAACAGTGCATTAACTCCAACTGAGGAATATTTATCATACTTCACAGCTCCTGACAGATTGTCCAGTGTGCAGTATGTATGATGTATGATCATTAAGGAAAGCTCCAAAACATCGGTTTCATGAGGATTTTTATGAGGCGTTCCCCAAACCCTGCTTGGCGTCAGACTCTCCCACTGTTAAGCACTCTGAGACACTACCCAGAATGAGAGTCGCTATATAAATGCAAGTTGTTGTTGTTTTCAGAGCACTAAAAACTAACTAATCGTAATAATCCTTGTCAAAGGCAAAATACTGCAGATGCTGGCGAAGGATCGCGGACCCGAAACACTGACTCACCTTCCTTTCTCCATAGATGCTGCCTGATCTGCTGAGTGTTCCCAGCGACTTCTGTTTTTGTAATTATCCTTGTATTTGATACAGTACCTTATTACTTCGATGAGATGTCTCAAAGCACTTCACAGAATGTACTGCAAAGTGGATTGACTATTCTGTGGGCGAAACGCGGGCAGCCAATTGCCACAGCATGTCCGACAAACAGTCGTGGATTGAGTGATCAAGACTTTTTTGAATGTTAGAAAGGAGATTGTTTTATGTTTCATTGCCTGAACCCATTCTTCTGCTCGCTTCTTAATCACTTTAACATTCCTGGTTTTCAAGGATCCACCTAATTTCCTTTTGAAAGGATTTATGGGGGTCAACAGAATGTTGAGAGTGGATTGAAGGCTTCATATTATAAAACACGTACTGAAAAATTAATATGGAGGAGGACCAGCTGCACAACTCTGCATGTCATTCCCTCCCCCAGGACATAAGGAAGTTTAAACTTACGCTGATCACTAAAAATAGCAGTTGTGGATCACTATTTTTAGTGATCAGCATAAAATAACCCCCAGGATGTGTCTGAAATTCCATGTAATTGCTCTTGGTCCAAGAGAAAGCCAAGTACTAAAATGATGTAATTGTAGCAACCAATGCACACCCTGTGCCTTTGCGTTCATTCTTTCCGTTTGGATCAGTCTGCAATTTCCTTCAAGAATAAATGAATAGAACTGAAAAGCACAGTTAAGTCACACAGGAAAGTTTTCTACAGTTTTCCCAATGCCTAGCCCTTCCAGTGCACTGGCACCACACACACACACACACGCAAACATCCTTGCTGATTCTACACAGTGGATACAAGTATTGTCCACCCTGTTATCACTGCCTCCCATGGCACCCATCTACCTTTGGCAAATTACCAAAGCTAACACAAATTAAAAGCGGCCGCATCAACGCTGCACGTCATGGTGCATAAAATAACAGATGTGTGAAAAGTATTCTGACACAGAAACAGAGTGACCCTGTTTTCGTATCGCACCTGAAGACTTTCCTCTTCGACCGTACCTACAATCACCTCGCCTTTCTCCCCTATGTCAAACTACAAACTTATTAAGTGATCTGAGACACCATCCCATGTGAAGGGCACTAGATAAATGCAAGTTGTTGTATTAAAGCACCTCAGTAGCATGCAAGTTGCAGATGTCGCAGAGTTGCTTATACTGCAGATATCCTGTGCGCCAAATTTAGCAGCCGTGCAGTATATTTCCAGATTCTGCCATGAACTGGATAACTTCTAAATATGTCTGCCTTCCAGCTTGTCCAGTTGCTTTCCCCTACTCAGGTGCGATATGTGCGGGAAGTGTTGCTACTTGTACTGCACTTCCTGTAACCTCAACCTGGAAGATGGACATATTTTAGCATTTCTGCTAATGACACAGTGGATCAGTTGCTCAATTCTAGAAACTCACACTGTTATAACATTCTCACCCTGTGGTTTAAGTGATTGTAATGGAATGAGATACCAAGTTAATTATTCCCTCTCCAGACTCCCAGGGGCATTAAGCAAAATTATAGCCACTCTTCCTCTATCCAGACTGAGATTTGTTAACTCAGACAGACTGGGAAAGCAAACCTGAGAACTTTTGGATGTCCAGGATGTTTCCAAAGTCCTGTTACCCTCATATTTTTTTCTCTACAGCATACAGACCAATAACTGAAATGTGGCAGAATGATGATAATTGTATTTAGAAGTATTTAATTGTATTCAGTACAAGTGTTTAACTATATTTAGACATCCAGAGGATCAGTTTGTGTCAGCGCCATCTTTTTCATGGTAGATAATGATCCTTTGCCATGTTGTGTGTGACATCTTCGGTAACATGGATGAAGTCACAAGGAACAACAACAACAACAAGATTCCATTTATAAAGCGCCTTTCACGTCAGGAGGACGTCCCAAGGCACTGCACAGTTGGGCCATGACCCGAGCATTGGGGGGAAATGGTCAGGGTGAGGGGAGGGAAGGGAGGGAGCGTGGAGGGGGAAGAGAGTCGAGAGGGGAGCTGAAGGCTCGGTCAAAGAGAAAGGTCTTGAGACCGGCCTTGAAGGAGGAAAGGGAGGAGGCGGCGAAAGCACTGGGGGATAGAGTTCCAGAGCCTGGGGGCTGAGAGGCTGAAGGCCCGACCACCAATGGTAGGGCGATTGGGGCGGGGGACGTGGAGCAGACCGGAGCCGGAGGAACGGAGGGTACGAGCGGTTAGGTAGGGGGATAGTAGGTCAGAGAGGTAGGAGGGAGCAAGGCCGTGAATGGCCTTGTAGGTGAGGATGAGGATCTTGAAATCAATCCTCTGGGGGATGGGGAGCCAGTGGAGGCGAGCGAGGGTGGGAGTGATGTGGTCGCGAAGCCTGGTGCGGGACAGTACACGAGCTGCAGAGTTCTGAATGACCTGCAGCTTGTGGAGGGAGGTGGCGGGAAGGCCGGCGAGGAGAGAGTTCCCGTAGTCCAGCCTTGAGGTGATAAAGGCGTGGACCAGGGTTTCAGCAGCGTGAGGGGTGAGGTAGTGCTGTAGTCTGGCGATGTTCCGGAGGTGATGGAAGGCGGTGCCAGTTGTGGTGCGGATGTGAGGGAGAAAGGACAGCTCAGGGTCGAACAGAACGCCGAGGTTCCTGACTGGCTTTGCGAGGTGGAGAGTGCAGCCTTGGATGCTGATGCTGTCAGCGCCTGAGGTGCGGAGGCGCTGACGTGAGCCAATCAGGAGGGCCTTGGTTTTTCGCACGTTGAGCTGAAGAAAGTTGTCTCTCGTCCAGGACTCGATGTCGGACAGGCGGCTGTCAGGACATCGGTGGTCGTGGAGTTGAGAGTAGAGGAGGAAAGGTAGAGTTGGGAAGTTACTGATATCAGATATTATTACACACGACTCATCTGCAACAAAAAATAAAAAGTAATTGTAAGAGAAAAATATGGGGGTAACAGGATTTTGTAAACACTCTGTTTATGACTCAGTTTCATCCAGGCTGTGGCTTGCCATTTGAGCCACATTGAGGAGTTCAATGTGTGCACTTCTGAAAAGGGTGTACATTTCTGCACAGTCTTTTATTGGTTGGTTACCTGGAGGAGGTAGAACTTCGGAGTCATTGCAAAATTGACACCACTCTTTACATCCAGGAGAAACAAACAGCTTCAAGTTCATCGTGGCCATCTTGCATACACATTTATTTTTTTCCGTTTCAAACAAAGTATTTCCAAACTTCAATTTTCTTGTTTCCAAGGCAGCTCTCACTCACAATAATGAACGGTTTCAGCAACTGAAAGAAATTAAGTCTACTTTGGAAACAATGAACTCTGAGGCGTGAGCATATCACTGTTTATACTACACCAGGGATTTGTTTGGAACAAGATCAAGCTAATCTGGTAAATTCCCTGATATGCACATGCCCTCATAGTTCAGATTGTTTTCGTAAGACTCGCTGTTAGACCATCAACTAATAAAAATCATCAAATGTACCAATTTAGGGTTTAAAATGACAGTAACAGAAACAAGAATTATGAGCGAGGAATGATTGAAATCATTGAAATGCTGACAGAGCATTGCTGTTGATGTAATTGAAACTTATCAAATTCAATCTGTGGAAGAAAACTGAGTACCAGGAAGCTTTCTCTTAGAATGTGTGTGTGTGGAGAGAATAGCTTGTAGAATTGTAATGCATCACTGTACGGCATTAGATCTTCCAACTATGTTAAGTCTAGATTGCTGTTGCTGTTGCTATTATTGAGTGCATACAAACAATGTTGGTGTAAAAGCAGAGAACATAAAAATATGGCATACATTCATCTACAAAACAACAACAACAACTTGGATTTATATAGCGCCCTCCATGCCGGACGGAGTCTCAGAGCACTTTTTTACAGTTACTCCTGTCAAGTGCTTTTAGAAGTCCTCCTGATATGAAAGCGCTATATCAAATGTAAGGATTATTATTATTGATATTAATTTTACAGAACACAGAAATCGAGTACAGAGAAATCTATTAATTGCCACATTTCAGAATGTCCAGAATTTGATAAATTCTGAAAAACATTCCTAATTTTGACGCCTTTATTTTAGGAACTACAAAAAACCAGACCTCTCAAAGTTAAGATAGAATTCAAGAATCTGCTGAATTCTGAATGCTCTAAATAGCTACATTAATGAAGTATCTCTAGACCCAGGCAGAATTTCTCCCCCACATTCAGTATTCGATGTGATAAAGCACCCCCAATATAATCTGTTTTTGTCCACGTTCTCTGTGTTTTGCCACACATACATTAATACAGTACCATTGTTATGTTCCAACAGGGTAGGAAAAGCCATGAAGATCCCAGTATATGAAACTCCAACAGGCTGGAAGTTCTTTGGGAATTTGATGGATGGTGGAAAATGTTCCCTTTGTGGGGAAGAGAGCTTTGGCACAGGTAATAAATTTACTTTCATCAGAATTTTTTTTACTATATTTTATACTACATCTAAGCATAGTTAGAGACTTACCCTCATTAATTTACACAAATAGTGATGCAATGACTTCATTGAATTACTGATTGTATTGATTGTGAGATGTTAACCTGCTTAAAAGGGAGCTGTATAAAATTGATCTTCATATGAAACCAAAACACGGCTGTTATTCTGGCAACTGGTACATTAAATGTGTCCTTCCCTGTTATAGTATTTATACACAAATATACAGTCAATTCACTTTACAGTCTATTCTGTAAAGCGCTTTGAGATGTCGAGAAGACGTGAAAAGCGCTATATCAAATTCAAGGATTATTATTATATTATTATTATTATATATATATAGTATAAAAAGTTCTTGTGAAACTCAAGCATTTGCATATGGTTAAACTAACCTGTAAAGTTTGCATGCAGGGTGTTATTACACTTAATATTGTAGAAGAATCCAAAAGTTCCCATTTGCCTTTACCATAGCTCGGCATTGTAAATTTGGTCTCTGTGAGTGTAAGGTCACAGAGGTCATGCAGATGCATTCAAATTTTATGAATCCTTTTCAGAACAGGTCTGTTTGAACTTAGAAAATGTAATAATATTCCTTGCATTTGATATAGCGCTTTTTACGTCTTCTAGATGTCTCAAAGTGCTTCACAGCAGTGAAGTAAAGAAACTTGCCCAAGGTTTCGCCCTGCTGAGAATCAAACCCGTGTCTCTTGCTTGCGAGGCGAGCGCGCTAACCACTGAGCTAGAGGACTCCACATACAGGCCAATTTGCCAAAAACATATGGTAGATGTTTGAGAACATTATACGGGATACAATGAATGATCGTACAAAATGTATTGACACAATAAACTGTTGGAACAGATGTGAAAGAAACTGGGCCTTTCCTTCAGACTGATGGGAGCATAGTTAGAGACTTACCCTCATTAATTTACACAAATAGTGATGCAATGACTTCATTGAATTACTGATTGTATTAATACAAAATATCTTTAGATAATTACAGCACAAATCACTGAGCAAATATGTGTTAAACTGGTTAAGCCCTTGCAGGAGAGGAATTTGTTTCCTCCAGTGAGCAATTTATTAGCATTTCAGCAAATTTTTCAGAGCTGGCTGTTCGAGAAGCTGAAAATTCCCCCAGGTCATAAGGCCAACCTTTCGTCCAACTAATTTTGAAAAGGCGTTGAGAAGATGCTTTTCCAATGGGGATTTCTATTTCACATTCTCTTTCAGTGGGCCTTGTGTGTATCCAGTAGACACAAACGGCACCTGAACTTTGTAAGTGTCTTCATAGAAAAATTATTTTCGTGTGAAACCATCGACATTTGTTTTGTACTATGGTTTGTTTCCCTTTCTTTCATCAACCTTTTTGTGGACGTAGATCTCAAAACAAAGCATTGAATCAGGTATTGCTCTTGTTTACCTTAAGTAAACATGTACCAGAGCTGATGGAATATAGAGGGTAAGAAAAACATCACTGGGAGGAATGAATACTTACCTCTTTGCAGCCCCTGGTGCTATTACCCAAACTCAGATGATGTATTGGCCAGATTGACAATGCTGGCTCATTGCATGTTTACTTGAATTACAGCTTAAATTATTCTGTTTATATATGTACCACAGTAGGAAAATAGCAGTTTAGCTGCTGTTGAATTGCACGGACTGCAACAGAGTTTAATTATGACTTCAGCGAGTTGTTATTTGCAAGCAGTACGCTGCGAGTATTCCTAGCAAACTGGAAGAGTTTGAGCTTTATAATGTCCACCCACTGGCACACTGCCTGGAGCACACTCCAAGAAACAGCCTCTGCTGTGTCACATTAAATGTTTTCGCCCTTTTATAGCAAAAGTATTACATTCAATTAGACTTCGGAGAAACACATTTAGGCTGTCAGAGAGGCGATTGCAATCAATCAAATCTGCAGAAGTAATTCACGTAAATAAGGAATGTAAAATATTTAGGTCAGGCAATGATACAACAACAACAACAAAATTACATTTGTATAGCGCCTTTCACGTCGGGAGGACGTCCCAGGGCGCTGGACAGACAAAGTTACGGACCCGTAGTCGGGGACCTCCAACCTCGGATCAGACGTTACCACAACGCAGTTAAAAGAAACAAAAGCTGTGAGAATTGTCTTATAGGAACATTCACTGGGGTAGAACCCTATTCATCCGAATATTTGTTTATGCACATTAATAATAATAATAATAATCTTTGCATTTGATATAGCGCTTTTCACGTCTTCGAGACGTCTCAAAGCGCTTCACAGAATATACTGTAAAGTGAATTGACTGTATATTTTGTGGGTGAAACACAGCAGCCAATTGCGTACAGCAGTGTCCCACAAACAGTTGTGGATTGAAGTGACATTTATTTTTCTTGAGGGATTATTATCGGGCGTGTGGAGTAAGGAAACTTGCCCAAGGTTTCGCCCTGCTGGGAATCAAACCCAGGTCTCTCGCTTGCCAGGCGAGTGCTCTAAACACTGAGCTACTGGACTCATTGGGATTGATATGAGCCTGCAAAATAACGGCACAAATACTATTATGGCATGTGTGACGTTGTGACTTGTTTTAAGGACACTCTCACTCTGGTTACCCAATCCAAGCAAGCTGGCTTCCTTGTGGCCAATTCCAACTGTTAGCCTTTCCTCTCAGCTCCAACTTCACAGGTTATGTCCTTTCCTGGTTTCATTCTTACCTATCCAAACAATTCCACTTTATATCTGTCAACGGCTTGTCCTCCAGCCCTCGCACCATCATTTCTGGCATTCCTTAAGGCTTTTTCATATCTACATGAGTGATGTTGTCCACAGATATGGAGTTAATTGTTAACTGTATGCGGATGACATCCAACTCTATCTCTCTGCCTTCATTCTTGATTCCAGGACCACTACTGTTTCTGATTGATTGTCTGCCAGACATCAAGTCCTGGATGAGAGCTAACCTTCTCCAATGAATTTATTATTACCTCTTGCTTGCCTCCCATCAGTACTTACTCACCTCAGGCGCTGACAGCATCAATCTAAATGAATGCACGTCCATCTCACAGAGCCAGCGCGGAACCTCTGTCTTGTTTGATTTTCAATTGTTCTTTAAACCCCACACCTGTTCACCTTTCCTCTACCTCCCCAACATTGCCTGCCTCCACCACTACCTCCCACTTCAGGTGGCTGAGACCCTTACCCATGCTTTCATCACATCCAGGATACACCACGGCATTTCTCTGCTTGCCGGGCTTCCCAGCTGTTCTCTGCACAAACTGCAGACCATCCAGAATTCTGTAGCTAGTGTCCTTTCCAGCAGTAGGCTCTATGAGCCTATAACCTCCATCCTCGCTCAGCTCCACTGTCTCCCCATTTCTCAGAGGATTGAGTTTATGTTCCTCATCCTCACTTTTAAATCCCTCCACGGTCTTGCCCCACTCTCCACTCTCCAGAACTCCATCCCGAGTCCTTCTGCCTTGCTTTTACCCTTTGTTTCTTTCAAGAACCATCTCAAGACCTTCCTATTTGACCATGAGTTCGGTTGTCTTTCCCCTATCACACTGATTCTCCCTGGGCCCCTACCACTCCAGAACCAACTCTCAGCTCAGATCCAAATCTTCCACTGTCCAGTACCTCGGGAAGTCTTCCTGATGTGAAAGGCACTATATTAATGCAATTGATGGTTGTTGTTGCTGTTGTTGGCACATAACAGGAGTCCTGCAGCTCATCAGTTAGAACACTCGCCTCGCAAGCGAGAGACCTGGGTTTGATTCCTGGCAGGGCAAAACCTTGGGCAAGTTTCCTTACTCCACACACATGATAATAATCCCTCAAGAAAAAAAACAATAATAATTTGGTCACTCAATCCACGGCTGTTTGTGGGACACTGCTGTGTGCAAATATTTGGCTGCCACGTTTCGCCTACAAAATATACAATTTACTTTACAGTATATTCTGTGAAGCTCTTTGAGACTAAAGACGTGAAAATAAGAGCTATATCAAATACAATGCAAGGGTTATTATTATTATAAGCACCTACAGGACCTTTTTTTTTGCTGGTAGTAAAGGTAAGTTTTCATAACGGGGACTTCACGCCAGATTTCAGCCTTTAGGAATAAATGGTGGATTGTGATGCAGCAGAACAGATTCTATAACACATGGCATAAGCACGTGTCATGAAATTCTGTATTTTGTTGGCATTCGACTACAAAGTACACAGTCACTACACTTTGCAGCAAATCCTGTGAAGGGGTCTGAGATGTTCTCCTGACATGAAAAGAGCTGTATGAAATGCAAGGATTTTTATTTACTTATATTTAATGTGTGATTAAACACCACACTTTCCATCCCATTACATCAGAATGTTTGCAGCTGATGAATATTGACAAGAGAGAACTACTGTATTCTACAGCTTTCAAACAGCTGCCACCCAGTTCCAAAGTGACATGTATAATTTTCCATTGTTTACCTCATGAAATATGCTGAAAGTGCATTCCTGAATGATTAAAGGATGTGAATTGGGATAAAAGAGATTTGGACTAAATATTCCATCCCTCGTTCCTTTCAAAGGTCATGTAAAGTTAGTGTTTTTGTCGGTGTCCTAGTTTATTAGGCTAATGTGCTGGGGATTTCTGTGTATTTAACCCAGACATTCTACGGAATCATAACACAGCATACAGGAGCACTGGAAAACAATGAAATCTGGGAAGAAGAAATTGTTTCTCCCACAAAATATACAGTCACTTCATTTTAGAGTATATTCTGTGAAGTGTTTTGAGATATCTCAACAACGTGATAAGGCGCTATATCAAATGCAAGTATTATTATTATTAATCAAAAGGCACAGACATTTCTCATAGTCCAGTGGGTACTGTAGGTTTGTTTGCCAGGGATGATATCAGAGATGAAGATTTATTCATATTTTGAAAAATTGCGTCTGTTTCCCTGGAACAGACAGTTAAGAGGAAATATAT